GCCTTCTCCTGAACCAGAACCTTCTGCTGAACCGGAACCTTCTGCTGAACCCGAACCATCAGCTGAACCTGAACCAACGACTAAACCAGAACCTTCGGCCGAACCTCAGCCTTCAGCTGAACCAGAACCTTCAGCAGAACCAGAACCTTCAGCCGAACCAGAGCCTTCCGCAGAACCTGAACCAGCTGTTGAGCCGGAACCTGCTACCGAACCTGAACCAACAACAAAACCGGAACCATCAGCTGAACCTGAACCGTCTGTAGAACCGGAACCAACGTCTACAAAATCCGAATTATTAATCGAACCTTTGCCATCGACTGAACCATCTGCTGAACCTGAGCCAGTTGCGGTGTCTGAACCAAGTAGCACACCTGAGCCATCAGCCGAACCTGAGCCTTCGCCTGAACCAGAGCCATCCGCTAAGCCAGAACCATCTGCAGAACCTGCAATAACGGAAACACCCGAAAAGAAAGAGTTTGAAGAACATTTGCATTTAATTCCTGTCACATTGCAAGAATCAACGACTGTGCCGGAACCTGCATCAGAACCATCCGCAGAACCAGAACCTACGTCAGAACCAGCACCTGAACCGGAACCAAAAGCAGAGCCCGAACCAGAGCCGACAGCTGAACCGGAACCGAAATCCGAACCTGAAGCAGACACAACATTGTCTCCAAACCCAAAACCACGAAAGAGCAAACTTAATGACGAGGCAGACAATTCAGAAGTTTTGCCAATATTACCATTAGTTGTGGAAACTACCACTTCACCAGCATCAATTATGACGACTCAAGCTACAAAATCAGAAACTGAATCTGTCGACCCAACGGCTGAGCCAGAACCAGCAGCGGAATCCGATCCTTCGGCAGAACCTGAACCATCCTCCGAGCCTGAGCCAACTCCTGAACCCGTTGCTGAACCAGAACCTAACGCAATACCTGAGCCGACTGTGGAACCATCTCCCAAACCATCACCAGAACCAGAGGCTTCACCCGAACCGTCTTCAGAAGTAGAGCCAACTCCTGAACCTAATGCTGCACCCGAACCAGCACCTGAACCTAAAACAGAAACTGAGCGCACTGGCGAACCGGAAACATCCAACAAAACGGAACAATCCGTCGGTATTATTTCTCACTTGAATCAGTTAATAGAAACAACCAGAAAACCCGAAACAACTACACCAGAAGACGATGGCCCAACAATGAACATTGAAGTGAGTATAAATACATACGCGCCAGAAACCCATCAGAAAATCGTAGCGGTTGATCCTATTGAAACTACAAACAACAATGTGGAAGCCATGTCTCCGTTCCTTCCTGAAATCGAAAATGACACTTTAGTAAACATTTTACACACGGGTGGTGAACTTCACGAACATGATCAACATGAAAATGAAACAACAACTAAACAACCTCGTCTTGATGATGACGAGCTGTCTAAAATGTACACGGTTGGATTGAACACCACCGCAACTGAAATTGGTACCACGCAAGCTACACAAGAAAAAGAAACAAAACAACCAACGAAGTTGATGGAAGATGATGAAATGCATAAAGCAAATCCGTTTGATTTAAACATTACTGAAGCCACCATTGTTACTACTCAAGCTTCAAATGATATAGCCACTACCCGCAACACGGAAGAAACCACTACTGTAAAACGAGCGGAAACCACATTACCATTAGATATCTTAAACAATGTACACAGTAACAGCTTTTTTGGAAATCTGGATATAACATCAGACGCTACTACTAAAGTTTTTGGATATGAACAATTTAAAGAAGTTTCTTCGAGCACTGAAGATTTGATTGCAATGGAAACCACCACGTATGGGAACAAACATAAACCATCAATGGCCCCTGAGGTTAAAACCGAAGATGAAGCTACTACACTTGAAACGATGGACGTTACCACAGAAGATATGGGTCAGACAATTTTTGCGGAATCGATAGACACAGTCACCGAAATTGTTCATGTCGTGAACCAAACTGCATCTCCAGTTGTAGAGTCTAACGATGGGAAATACCAAAAGGAAACTCCTACCGTTACTCTTACTACCACGTCGGCTACAACCGGAAAATTATATGAAGTCTCTGAAGCTAGCACCGACGAAAGCACTGAAGCGAGCATTATACTGAAAAAGGAAACCACTACAACCGGAATCAACGATTTAGATAAATTGGATACGGAGGATAAAGATGAAGCTTTTTTATCGGTGATTCCGTTACCTAAGAAAACCGAATCTAATAAACTCGACAAGAAACGCCAGAATACCGATTTTGAAGCAAACAATTTAAATGACATCAGTGATGAAGATCATAATCATATTGATAAAATAGAAAATACTGAGAAGAAAGATGAAACCAACGTCTTGGGTGAAGTTTATGAAGTAACCGAAGGATCTACTGAACCCACATCAAAAATATATAAGAAAAAAGAGTGGTTGGCAGAAAAGAAAAAGCAAAAAGTTGAGGATGCTGTAAAATCAGAAACAGGCCTTGTAAAGGAAGGATTTTCGCGTTGTGCCACTGGACAATTCCAGTGTGTAAATGGCACTTCATTAAAGGACGGCAGCTATTGTATTCCAAGAAGTGACAGGTGCGATTCAGTCGATGATTGTTCCGATGCGTCCGACGAAATTGGCTGCGTTCAGGAAGGTTGTCCAGATAATTTCCAATGCACAAGCGGACAATGCCTTAAACGACACTTGGTATGCGACGGTATTCTGGATTGTAACGATGGAAGTGATGAAAATAATTGTGGTAAGTAAAAGGCAAAAACATTGTGTTATACATCAGATTTGTTTCATTCATTTATAAAATTTAGATACATGGACGTGCCGCTTTGACGAATTTACTTGTGGAGCCGATGAACGCTGTATACCCCTTTCATGGAAGTGCGACGGTCGCACCCAATGCCCCAACGGCGACGACGAGCATAACTGCCATCCGAAGGAGTGCGGCGACAATGAATACCACTGTGTCGAACAAGATACATGCGTACCGGCTAGCTGGCGATGCAACGGCAGGTCCGATTGCGCCGGTGATGAGGACGAAAAATTATGCGGTGAGTTCCGGGGAGGAGTCGTCCGTCGGTGGCGTTTCTGTTGTGGGCGTACTTGTAGGTGCGGGTGCTGTCACGAGTTCAGCAGTTGGTAGAATCAACTCGGGTTGTAGATTTGGCGGTGCGGCATTTTCAACTTCCGGTCCGACACTTGGTACAGTTGGTACCATGTTGCTCAGTGTTGAATCTTTTAACTCACCAACCGTCAAAGGGTTGCCGTCAATAAGAGGTTCTGCAGTTTTTTCTTTCGCGGAAACGTCTTTTGGGACTTCTTGTTCGAAGATCTGTTCTGCATTTGGCATTGCAACGTTTTCCACTGTGTCCTCCATTGCGTATAAAATTGACCTAAAATTTTCTTACACTCGTATTGAAATAGATTTCAAAACGTCAAAGCTTTGTAAAAGTGAATGACTAATTAAAAAAACAAAACAGATTTCATGGCGCATGATATTAATTATGAAGGGAAACAAAATCAAATTTACATGGAGAACGTAATTTTTATAAATGTTTATTAATATTCCAGAATGTAGTGTGGATCAATTCAAATGCTCTATGGGAGGTGGTTGCATCGATGTAAAACTACGCTGTGATGGCGTTGCTCAATGTGCTGATCTTTCCGACGAGTGGAATTGCTTAAAGAACGACGAACCTCTTGGAGCACATTATCTTCAAGTATTATCTGAAAATCGAACATGGTTGCCGGTTTGTGCCGGCAACTGGGATCCGAAAATGGCGGACACTCTTTGTCAATCAATGGGTTACGCAGGTGGCAGCCAGATGGAAGAGGTGGAATTGCAGGGACAATTTGATAAGTATTACCGCCTTAAGAAAGATGGTGTCGGAACCCTTCTAGCTCAATTAGAAAAGACTGACCTTAAATGTGATAAAGGGATTTCGGTTACGTGTCAAGAATACAGTAAGTTTTATTATATTATATGCTTGCAAAGGCACAATATTTAAATACAATATGTTATATTTTTTAGACTGTGGAAGTCATAGTACTTTAGATGTACAACAAGCGCGAATTACTGGAGGTAGCAATGCGGCTACCTCGCAATGGCCAAGTGTGGCTTTGTTATTTGACAGAAAACAAACTGTTAAATGTACTGCAAGTATTCTAACACCAAAATGGGCGATTGCAAGTCATTCCTGCGTGGGTGGTAGACCAATAGTTGGTGATTGGGTCTTGTACGCTGGTGGTACCCAATTCTTTGACACCGATGAAAATGGCACCTTCCAAATGTCCAACGTAAAGGAGATTGTTCCACATCCGCAGGCAAAGTACGCACAGTTTGAGTACATCAATGATGCAGTGCTGATTGAATTGGAAACACCATTAGATGTTGGACGGAATGTGAGTGTGATTTGTTTGCCGGATGCAAGTATTGAGAGGCAACTGTGCGTAACAGCAGGGTGGGGAGTGAGTAAACCAGGAGGTAACTATTTTAGGTTTTGATCTAGATACAACAAATAATAATGAAACATTTAATTACAGAACCAAATATTCAGCAGTATCTTAACTATTTGCCAGTGCCAACCATTGAAATGGATGAGTGCAATTCAACCAAACATTACAACGGACATTTGACAAAGGAAAAAATTTGCGCTGGATACAGCGACACCGAAAAGTCGCCATGTTATGTAAGTAGCATGTTGAAGTTTATAACATAAAATTTAAAATTCAAAAAAAGGGCGATAGTTAAGTTAATATAAAATATAACATTATAGAATGATGAAGGCGCGCCTCTAATGTGCTTCTCGGATTCTGCCAATAAATGGGAACTTCAAGGTACTTTGTCCCACCATGGAAACTGCGGCAGGTCAAAACATCCATCAATTTATACCTCCATCAAAAGCATAAAGCAATGGATTTTCAACACAATTGGTAGGGAACTTAAGAGTACATGAAGCACTCACTGGTAAACTAAAAATTAGAAGGTTTTAAAAGATATAATTCAATTGAGGATCTACTTACACACAAATGCCGAATACGAAAACATCACAAGGTGATATCTTTAATTAATATGAGTCAACATAAGCAGTATAATTGTATACTGCAATAACAAGGCAATGATATATACTAATCTAGGACCTAAGTAAGTGAAACAGATATCTGATAGGTGATGTGTCAATCTAGTACTTAGTACTTAAATGAGAAACTGAAATCAACGATAGAACTAGACATTAGGAACCTCATTTTTTGTGTAAAATATAGCAATACCAATTTGAGTGGGTCCCATCGTGCTTTTTTATAAGCATCATATTCCTGTTTGTAACTATGCCATGGGTAATGAGGCCGGACGCTGTTCCTCGCTGGCATTTATTGTAAATATTGTATTATTCTCATCTTAAATCGATTTTAATGGCTCATGTTTTAATCCAAATTCACAGAGTGCGTAAAAATACGTAACTTTTATATCAGAATTATGTAAAATATTTATAAATCAAATATTACTCATGTAAGTTTTATCTATTAAGTTTACTTAAAATGTTATTCTAGTGTTTTAGTGCGTACGAAACGTTTTTTTTTTTGCTGCATTCAATTTATAAATGGCAAATGTGGTATTTAATCCGTCCGTCAAATGTTTTACGCTACGTTTATTATTCATTTCATTTGTAAGATTACTTATGTTTGTGTTTGTACTTAATTTGTAATATGTACCTACTTCAGAATGGACATCGTACATTGAAAAAATAGGTATTGATTAACTTTTAAACAAATACTTAAGTATATAAAGGTTTAGATACGCATCAAATATAATTACGACGATGTCATATGAAAAGATGTTACCGGATTGTAATAATAAATTTAATAAAAACATGAAAATTACTTCAACTTGGTGAGATAACTTTCTTAAGCTGATTGTTTGTATATAAAGTTACTTCCAACAATAGTTTGAAATGAAGCTCATTAGTTATTAATTAGTTATTACCTATTACTTTAAAAGTAAGTGATCCCTGAGATTCTCTTCAATAAGTTTCGAATATATGACTAAAAGCGCCCCCTTACGCGTTTTGCAAATTGTAAACTCACCCTGATAAAACTCGATGTCACAGCATTGAGGTTAAAATCAACTATCGAACTATGCAAGAATTTTGCACGATTTTAACAATCAAATGAATATTAAAAACTACACCATGCTTTAAGTGTGCAGAGATAACCAGGCTCTTGTGCAAGCCATGGAGACCTGTAATGAGTTACTCCTGCAAGCTATAAGCACCAATGACCTCAACACAGTGAGATACTGCCTCAGAAATGGGGCCAATGTTAATAAAATCTGCTCTGGAGGAACTACACCTTTGGGTGCTGCTGCTCAAACCGGCAATTTACAAATGCTGAAGATTCTCGCTGAAAGCACGAAAAACATCAACAATCTACAACTTGATGTGGACAATGATAATCAAGAAGACCTATCAAGGCCACTATACCTGAAACTAGACACTCAACCCGAGCCAGTTCGCGGCCGTAAAAATATTGGCTATTTTGTAGTTTGCAAAGACATGGATGACAATGACTTGGGTGATGGTCCTACACCTGATGGCATGGATGCTCTTGAATGGGATATGGAGATAACAGATGAGGGTAACAATGACTTGGCACCATCACCTGAAATTAACATATATAAATGGTATGCAAAAATACTCAATCAAACATCAATTTTGTTAAAAAGTCCTGACTATGATGTGACTAGATTGGATACTCATGGGCAAACAGTGTTGCATTATGCAGTTAGATTTGGCAGTAAGGAAATGGTTGATTTTCTATTGATGACATTCACTGAGATCAATGTGAATCAAAGTGATTCCAGTTGGAACATTCCATTGCATATTAGCTGCATTAGGGGAGACATTGATTTAGTGCAGTTGTTAATTAAAAAAGGAGCTAACATAAATGCAGCAAACACAAATAGAGAAACACCTTTGCATTATGCTGCTCAGCATGGACATTTGCATGTTGTGCAATTATTAATTGACAAAGGGGCAAATTTGAACAACTTTGATATGGAAGATAGATCACCATTGAGTTTAGCTATTGATAATATACATGAAGATGTTGCTGAAGTTCTTATTCATAAGGGAACCAGACTAAACCATGAAGAGTGTTTGGGATATACTGTTTTGTATAAAGCTGTGTGGAACAATCTACTTAGAACAAGTAGAAACTTGTTGAAATCAGGCAGTAAGATAGTGCACTCACATTTTTTGTTGCATATTGCAACAAGGCATAATAATCTTGAAATGGTGAAGCTATTATGCGAAAATGGTGCTGTTGTAAATATTCGAGATGAACATGGGAATACGCCGTTGATGTCGGCGTGTATAAACAAAAATTTTGATATTGCAAGATATTTTTTACAAAACGGTTGGTTTACAAGTTCAGTACTCAAGTGGATGAAATAAAACATAAATATGATTACTTTCTAGGAGCACCAGTAAATACAGTGAATCAAATAAACGGTATGACAGCGCTGCATCTTTGCGTTCAGGGAGTACAAGACCCAAAACAATTTGAGATGTTTCTACAACTGCTCTTGTCATATGATGTTGACTTAAACGCCAATAGTTATCAAGGTAATGTTCTATTTTATTCGATAATCCTCGGTAATTTGGAGGCAGCGCGACTTTTGGTGAAATATGGCGTCGATGTAAATCGGCGAGATGAACACGCTTATTTCGACAATTTAAGCCTGGCGAAAAAACAAGGCGATTTACACCTGGTTCGGCTCATAGTATACGCCGGCTTTGATTTTTGTAATTTGCTGTTCAACCTCAAAACACTGCAGACGTCCGGCGATGATGGCATCTACGAATTTTTGGTAAACGTCAAGACCTCACCGCTGGACTTGCGTGAACTGTGCCGAATACGTATTAGACGGCTGCTACGGCGGCAAATCATCGCCAAAATCTATCAATTACCACTGCCTTCAATGATTTTACACTATTTGGCCTTAGATATACTATAATCCTTTGTGAAAAAGCACAAAAATCGTTTAAAAAAAACAGAAAAGAGGAAAAAAGTTAAATTTTTCAAAAAAATTAAAATTTGTGAGATTCCTATGTGATAGGACATTTATATGTTTGTGTGCGTAAAACTCTGTAATTCTAAGAACACAATGTGATTACGTCTAGTCGTTAGTAAAATGCGGTACCAAGTAGCAAATAACTAAATAAGTATACAAGCTAATGAATTGATTTCATATTTTGTGTCACATGTTCATTCCATTCGAAGCTGTCACGGAAGAGAATTTAATAGAATGTATGAATAATTGATATATTTTAAAATGAGCGGCAATTGGTCCGTTGTTTCAACACAATGTTATATTTAAAAAATATATTAGTTGGATCAGGACTTGCATAGATCTCTATATTTGATGCTCAAGCTGGCACTTTAATTGTTAAGATGCACATTATCGACATAATCAAGACTAATATACTATCTTGTCTAAATGTGTATTTTTTTATTTTATAACCTCGCTTCAGTCTTAATTGCATAGTGGTGTTGGAGTGAAAAAATATTCATATTTTTATCTTGTTTGTGGGAAAAAAGGAAAAACAATTTAGTGTTAGAAACAGAAAGGAGACAGAATTTATTTGCTACTATTTTTTGTGATTACATGAAGATGTTCGTATTTTGTTTCTTTAAAAACATCATTTCGAGGTAGTCGAATCGTTACAATTTATGTATTGGAAGCGTGCATTTCATGGTAAACTATATTAATCATAAAATTCGGAATGCATTAACTGATAATTCGTGATATAAGAAAACACCAAATATTTTACGAGGTAAGTGTGCATGGATAACTTTGTTGATCGTAAAATGTATGATTCGTCCGCCACATTTACATTACAGTTCTAACGTTCTAACCGATTTAATAACTAATGTGTGAAATGTGAACATCAATAAAACTCAATTGAAACTCGCTGGGCTAGCTAAGTACTACGCATTACGCAAATGCGTATTATTGATTACTCCGCCTGTTGGCACTCCGACATACCCGACGTGAAATCGTATTTTCGGTTGACAACGCGAACGAGTCATTAAACGCGTTCGCTATTTGTAAGATTAAAAAGAAATTGAAACACCGCAAGTGCGCAGTGCGCGCACCCCACACGAGTTCTCCTTGTTCCCTGCATTCCGCCACATTCCTTTAGTTTAGTCTCGGCCTGTGCGCTTGCAGCACGTAATCGAGCTTCTCGCTGAGCGCGAACTTGTTTTGGTGATCAGTGATGTGTTTTGACGAAAATAAATCGTGACATCATCTGATTCATTTGTTGCTAGAATGTTTATCGGTGTTTGAGCAGGTGTGGTCTATCGAGAGCCGGGTACACTCATTGATTAACGCACAGCTTCAACGCTCATTATTGTTTTCCACAGATTTGCGTTCAGTTGTATTTTCAGTTTGGATCATCTGCATCTTGCACACGACCATGAATGTAGCTATAGCTCATGACCTACATTAGTCTCACGTAACTAATTATTTTTTGCGTTTTGTTTTTGTTTGTAGTCCAACAAGGAAAGTCAAGACACTATGACTGTGCAAAGTAAGGAAGAAGAAAAAGATGTTCACATCCATGCTGCTGGCAGTTCCACCACTGAACTTTTATTCAGTGCTATTAAAAAGGTGATGTGGTTGTCTTTTTGGCATATGCTCAATTTTTTTAAATTTAAAGTCTAAACAAACATTAATTTTACTATTCACTTAAATTTACTATGGACCTACATAATATGTAGTTCACATTTAAATTTAAATGTGTTGAATCAATTGAGATCAATCAATCTCAATTTATTTATGGTCTATTGGCTACCACATATTAATTAATATCTATTACTTTTAGGTTGCCTTGGTTGGGACAGTTTATTTATGTGGTTACATGAATTGGTCTGTTGCCTGGTTGATTGGTCCAGTTGTACTCCTTGTATTAAGAGATCAGTGGCGTCGTGATGGGAAGATTAAGAGAGACATGGCTAAAGCTGTTGCTACCTCTAATGAAAAAGAGGTCATTCTGGCAAGAATCAATGACTTGCCTGCTTGGGTTTTCTTTCCAGACATTGAGAGGACTGAATGGTTGAATAGGGTATTTATTTAAAAAAAGTTTATTTAGTTAAGCAAATCTATTTATACCTTTATGTGTTATTTCAGATCATAAAACAGTGTTGGCCAAATGTAAATTCGTATGTGAAAGCATTAATAACACAGTCGATCGAACCAGCGTTGCGCAAAAGCTTGGAGGGGTACAAGCTTAACGGATTTAAGTTCGAACGCATCATTCTGGGAGATATTGTAAGCAATCCAAGTAAATTATTAAGGTTTTCATTATAAGTTTATGAATTTTTGATTCCAGCCGTTTCGTATTGGAGGTGTCAAGGTATACGAGAAACACATTGCTCGTAATGAAATTATAATGGATTTGGATATTTAGTGAGTAGACAAAAATAAATATTTACATTAAATATGCACATACTGATAAAGATAATTTTATTTAATTAATTATTTATTTCTAATTTTAGCTATGCTGGTAATTGTGATATAAACTTTATTCTCTCAGGAATGAAAGGTGGAATTAGGGATTTCCAGGTGAGTTTTTGCCAATGGTTCCGACAATTGATAATACGCTTATCTTATTTGTTTTATTTATCATTATATAAGCGAATCCACATTGTAATGAGTATTATTGACATTTGTAACTAATATTTTTAAATTAAGTGTTTGATAAGTCTAAGCAATTAAGTCGAAAAAACATTAGATATTTGCTAATGACTCAGACTACAGGAAATTGTGGAATTTAATCTAAACTCAATTATTGGTTTGATTTTTTTATAGGATAATGCCTACAAAAGGTTTTCATGTACTATTTTTATATATGTTGAGTTTTGGAAAGATGTGATATAACAATGTAAATGTTTTTTTTTTAGTTACACGGAATGCTCCGTGTGGTAATGAAACCTTTGATTACATCGATTCCTCTAATTGGCGGACTGCAAGTGTTCTTCTTAAATAACCCGTCCATTGACTTTAACTTAGTCGGTGTAATTGATGTTCTTGACATGCCTGGCATTAGGTAATGAGTGCAAAATTTGTGTTTGAAGGTATTTTTAATTGAAATTATGCTTTTTCAGTGATATTTTACGAAGAATTGTAGTAGAACAAGTCGCTGCAATGATGGTATTACCGAACAAATTCCCAATCAAACTTAGCGATGCTATCGAAGTCATTGACTTGAAGCGGCCTGAACCGGAAGGAGTGCTACGTGTTCATGTCATAGAAGCTAAAAACCTTATGAAAAAGGACATTGGCTTGCTTGGCAAGGGCAAGTCAGATCCGTACGCAGTACTTACGGTTGGCGCACAGGAATTCCGCACACAGACAATTTTAAATACTGTGGACCCGAAGTGGGATCATTGGTGCGAGGTGAGAAGCGTTTTAATTTTCTTTTGATTGACGCCGCGTTTGTTTTTTGAGATTCTTTTAAGAAATGATAGATAATAATGCAGCTCTGCATGTGTCTGATAGTCGACATTCCAATTCACAACAACACAATAGCCTAGACACGACAATGAGACACTTAATTTATGAGTTTTGGCGCAATACTTTTAGACTGATCTATTTTCGTTATATTGTGCAGCTTTGCTTACTTGATCGAGCTGAGCACACACACTTACGGCTATCGAGCGCTGCGACAATGTTCTCAATTACTTACTCGTCCATGTCGTATATTATATTTTCAATCCTGTTGTTACTTTCAATACTTTACTATTTTATGTATTAGTTTATTGTAACGGATGCTAGCGGTCAACACGTTGCGCTGCATTTGTGGGATAAGGACGATACAGGGGCCGATGAGCCTTTGGGCAGGTAAGTCATCACATAAAAAAAACAAACTTACACGCAGAGGAAACAGTCAATTAGTTATCAAATCTGCATCAGGTACAACTCATCACTCATGCGAAACGCACAATACGCTTAACAAATGCCGTGCACGGTGCTTTCTAATAGAATTTTTAGTTTTACTTTTGTTTGGTTTGACTTTTCTTCTTTCTTCTTTAGTTTTTTTTCCAAGTCTGTGAAGTGACGTTTACAATTTAACTAAGCAAACTTAGTAATAGTGTAATTTTCGCACGATAGGCATTCATTAGTTCGAGGGAGGCTCAGTTGTTGACAATTGAGTTGTGGGACTGGGATCCAGGTCTACCCGGTACCATGAATGATGATCCACTGGGAAGGTACAATCTGTGTGCCGATGCTAACAAATTCCAAACGATTACTAATTTGTAATTTAACAGTGATTTTTTAACTAATATTGAGTTTATAACACACTAATTGTCCTGGGGCCTTGGGGTTCTATGAAAAAATTACCGACCCGTGGTCTATTGTAAATATTGATTTCTTTCTTGTGCGTAGTTCGTTGTGGATATCGCTTCCGGAATGAAACTGCAAATGCAGTTGTTTGACTATGACAATGGTCCAAACGACGACAAACTGGGAAGGTATACTCCAACGTGCTCCTTACTTAATCGTCATATGTCAGCTCATGTGTCTTCATTTGTTATTTGTTTATTTTCAATATCTTCGACTTTCTAGATTGCAGATTCTTGTATAGAAGCAGACGGTTGATGGAACGAATGTCTCATTTTATGTGTGTGTGCTTTATTAACTCATTGCTTTCACGTTTGCGTTTGCAAAGTGTTAATTTACAAGTTTGATAATGATTGATGTTTTAAATACTTAATTTTCTTAGTTTTTGTTGGCTGTTGCCTTCGCAATGTCTGCAGATCATTCTTAATGCACATAATTGTTTGATTTATGTACGTTATTAAATTCACTCTGCATTTTAGAGCCACAATCGAAGTTGCTAATATTGCGTCAAAGGGACGTGAAGACACAGTAAGTCTTCCTACTTGAAACTGAATAAACATTTACCGAACGATTATTTTATAGTGGATTACATTGGAGCAAGCAACAAAGGGACTTGTACATTTGCGTTTGTACTGGATGTCATTGAGTGCGGATTACACAGATCTCAAGGCGGTACGAACAGGATTTGCATTTATAAAAATACGATCTTAACGTTAATTTGTATTTTAGGCTTTGGCTGAAACACAAATGTTGCGTGTTACTGCAATGCACACGGCTATTCTTTGCCTCTACGTCGATTCCGCTAAAATGTTGCCAGTAAGTCATAAATTTAAATGCGAGTTTGAGTTGTGTGTTAATTTTGGAACAATTAGCAACCTAGATCTTCAACGAAGCCAGATCCGTATTTGATGATTACACTAGGCAAGAATACGCAGCAAACGGGCGTTATAATGCGCACTACAGACCCCGTATGGGAGCAAGGATTTACGTTTATGGTCGCTAATCCAGAATCAGACTCGATGTATTTTAAAGTCATGGATCAAAAGACGGGTAATGAGATGGGCGAATTGGTATACCAATTGACGACACTTTCGAAGAAGGTCAATCTAACCGTACCACAACAACCTTTTGGGTTGAAGAAAGGTGGTCCTGAGAGCAAGCTTGTCATGTCATTGCATATGCGGGTAATATATCTTGAAAATTAATTATTTATATATAAGTTAAATTCTCGACATTTTTAAAAATAGATTCTTAAGAGTCCTGATGTTGAAGAAGAAGATACATTTGCTTTAAATCGACAAGGCTCCACTAAATCATCAACTGCTTCAGGTATAACATAAATTTTTGCTGCGCTTAGTATTTAGTTTAATTTTTGTTCTTATTAGTACCCCCAAGCCCTGCTAAAGTATCAGTTTCACGTGAACCATCTGAAAGTAGTGTGAGTGGATCGACACAACCTTTGCTGTCAAATACCGCCGAAGAGACGGCGGAAGAAGTTTTTGAACAAAGCAGAGGACCAAATTTGTCTTCTTCGCCTGAAGAAATGTCTTTATTGCATCGTACTCCTAGTGCGACTTCGTGAGTTGATATGACTTTTAAATATACGATATTTAAATCATTCATTTTTATTTATCAGTTCCGCTGGTGGTCATGGACTGGGAAGAATTCAAATGACATTGCGCTACAGCGTACAAAGACAACGTTTAATTGTTGTGGTGCACAAAGTTGCGTAAGTAGCAGATGGATTATAATATCGACAGAAACATTATTTATAAATTTTTTTACGTTTTACAGTAACATACCACTGAAGGATCCTTCAAGTATTCCTGATCCATATGTGAAGTTGTATTTGTTACCCGAACGCTCCAAAGAATCCAAACGTAAAACAAACGTAAGCGAACTCAAAAGTATTTAAATACTGATTTCTTGTACTATATTTGTATTTCAATTCAGGTTATTAAGGATAATTGCAATCCGATATTCGACGAAACATTCGAGTACCTAATTTCCCAAGCTGAGCTAGCAAGTCTTCAGCTGGAAGTGACTATCTGCACCCAAAAGCAGTTGTTCTACTCAAGCAGTAATGTTTTGGGCCAGGTTATTGTCGACCTAAGCGAGCATAGCTTGACACAGCCGCTCAATGCTTGGTTTGATTTGCAACCAGAAAAGGATTAAAATTAAAAGAAGTGCTCTATTTAATTATTTTCATATTCAAATTTTATCTTATCCTATCGATCATGCATTTACAAATATGCATTATTGATGCAGCGCTTAATTAAATGTTGATACTACATATTTCAATATTATGACGATGTTAATTGTGGTGTTCATTAATTATATTCTAAGCCTAATATGAAAGTGTTTAACACAAAGTTTTATTATCGATTTTGTCTTTTTGACTTGACATAAATATAAAAATTATGATTGGGAAATTTGTTTTCAGCAAGACCATCCTGCAGTTCCTGCAAAAATAATTCTATTTGTGATTTTTGGGTGTATTATATGCGAAATAATACGTTTATGTCTAGTATCTCGCGGTCATATTATAGTTTACTGAACCTTCACAACGCATACCCCTTCAACTCGCTAAACCCACAAGAATTGCTCTAAAATCGATTTTTAAATTATTTTAAAGTTATTTTCGGTCCAAATCTGTCCACACTATTTTTTATTGTAAAATATAATTTGTCCAAATTTTAATTGCTTATTTTTAACATGATAAATTAAGAACATCAAAATAGAAACTATGATTAATATATTAACAAATAGCCTAACAACAACATGCTACTAAAATAAAGTTATTAGAAATAATAGTAGGCAAAAAGTAAACACCGTACTGTACACTATACCCTCATAAGTTATCGTTCTGAAAACGATACTTTATTAAAACCATTGCAAGTCAATGCAATGCAGTGTTTGTCAAACCAGTAGGTGTGCTGACGAGAATTTAAATGGTCGAAGTACTACATCAGGTTTGATAAATACTTGCAATGACTTGGAATGGTTTTAATAAAGTATCGCTTTCAGAACGATAACTTCTGAGGGTATAGCGTACAGTACAGTGTTAACTTTTTGATTAGTATTAATACTCACCCTCTCGTAAAACTATTGTTTTTCAAAGTGTTTAGAGTTATGTTTTCTTGCAAATTCAGTAACAAAAAGTTTTAATAATGAATTTCTTTCCTAAGAAATGATAAAGAAAATTAAAAATCCAAATTAAAATCATAATCAAAATCTATATAGGAATCAATTAGATAGGTTAAAAATAATGCAAATATGGCAATCTTAATTGGGGCACGTATCCATAAAATGGTCACATTAAGCCAAGACATTATTTCGATCTGAATATATTTGATATCGTGTTAAATATAAAATTTAACCAAGCAGAAACTCATCTATATAATTAATTCATTAACAATAATTATTAAAACAGGCTAAATATGCTTATTTTTTTACCTTGCCAGAATAACAAACAAGACATATTTCTTTATAATGACGGCAAAGTAAAGAAAATGTTTAAGATTTCTATCTAAACGAGTGTCAAAGTGATTTTTTATTGTGTTTCATCCGGCCATTAAAGTGTATTTTAAGCTCAGCCAACCAAAATACAACTTAATCACTTTATTCGGTAAACATATAGAGCGTTAATCAATTATAGTAAATGTTCAAAAACATCATTTGGTATAATTTTTTATCTTATTTGCAATGATCCTTTAATGAATACAAATTTAATGTTATGAATTGTTTTTTGGGTAAAATATATATCAACTAGCAAAAACAAACAAAATTTAAAACAAAGGAATTAATTACACATAAACGGATAGGTATACAATACAATAGAAAATACGTTGTGGATTAACTCATTACAACAATAATAACCTAAATTATATATGATTGGCGACATTGCCTGATGGAAAATTCCTATTGTGTAATAACTATTTACATCAAACAATCCGTCTATAATTTTCCGCACACAGTGGTACTTACCGAATAAATAGGAATAAAAATTTAACTTAAAAAATCTACAGGTAATGAGACTTTAATAAGAAAATTTCTTAAGTAAAAGCAACAAGTTGAAGGCCGATAGCAACGCAATTAAGCAAAACGCATTTGATTACGGTTAATCGTAATCGTGACTTCCTGTTTTTACAATTATCGGCTAATTTTACTCCAACCACGTATATCGAATCAACGCTGTCGGCAGGCTGGAGAAACATTAACAAAAATTCAAATTCGATCCGAAAAAAACTTTCACTCGTACGACTAATTTACTTCGTTTATCGAACAGTTTTTGAGTCGTGCGCAACCATCAGATAATCTGCAATAAAAAACGTTATATGATCTAAAAGTCTAACGACATCCATTTCTAATCAAATCAGGTTTTTGAAGTATTTTATAATAAAACAACTTCCATGTAAACACAAATAATCTATAACAATAACATGCCGATGCAAATATCGGGGCGGTAAGATAATAAATCAGTGTTTTTTCCAGATTTCTCATCATTCCAAGCACGCCCACACAAGGAATGCATAATAATTAAACGAATTTTATTTATACCCTTGCTTGGTATGCACCCAGCGCACAAACGTCTCGACGTCGCGACAATGCACACCGAGCAAGCAATAAAACATCTTATTGGCATCGAACTTTCGCCTAATTGATGTTACACTTGTTTATTACCACATACCACCTTCCCACACATTCACACCCACACACACTGCAACCCGCTGATGTTTTATATAGTATTAATTGGCGGCGCTTTTTTTCGTACACAACTATTTCGTTATTTTCAACTAATAATTTGTTTCTTAATTGTTACGTCACCGCCCATGTAGGTTCTCGTTCACATTTGCGACGTAATAATTCAACGTAGTTCACTTATACACCTAAAAGATTAATTATTCTATATACAAAATTTCACTTGTTTTAGCGGAATTTACCATTCTGTTACGGTCAGATTCAGTTGTCTTGCATATAAATAAAGTGATGATTTCGTATGTGGCGTAATAAGTGTGTTACAAATGTAGGTAAAATTGAATTACGTTCACGCCAATTTTTAAACTCTTCGATACTTCACCATTCAGCTTAGTTTAGTTGTATTTTTTTACAACGTAAATTATTATTTAATATTGGAAAAATAGCCTTCATTATTATATTACACTACGTGATATTCTAATCTTATTACGTAGTAATTAATATGTTAATGTGTAATTAAATTAAATTTACGTTTTTTATTTGATTTGTCTACTCTATTTTGATGATATGATGTTTAAAAAATCACCTAAAAACAACTAAATCATTCTTCATCATAAACAAAATGTAAATTAATTTTGTTAATGACTATGACTCGACAAATATGGATCTTATTTACGTTATGTTTATTTAGACTATTTAACCTCGGTTAAGACGAAACATTTGTTGCTTTCCTTGAATTATCTTCTTAAAAAATTATTTTCTGCAATATTTCGATCCTACATGTTAAACTTTCTAGAAATTGTACAATTTTTGTAATATTGCACAATATATTTTTTTTGGTTGACCTGATGAATAAACTTACATTTTTTTTTCCAACCACACCGTTAAGGTTTTAAATACATACCATTAAAAGCCGCAAAAAACAAGCTTCAATAGGAAGTTCCATAAAAAAATTGGCAATCCCGTTTGTTAAGCATTAGTGTGATCAATAATGACGGACAAAATACTCTTAAGAAACCCGCAAGTCATCTACATTGAAGTGTTTAAATTATTTCTTATTATTTTCGCAGTGATTCACAACCGCATTAACATGTCTGTGATTTTACAAATGCGTGAGAAGTGTAAAAAGCACTTGATAAATGAGAGTGTTTTGACAGACGTCGTGCATTTTTCTCATATAAGTGTAACACAACCCAGAGAAAGACAGCAACTCACAAAAACGATAAAGATGAATAAAATAAACATTTTTTGCAATTTATTTAATGCATTGCGAATGTTATCGATTAAAAGCTAGCAAAACCAATAAATATTTTACTTTCCTGGAATAACTTTAAGTTAAGTGACGAGGTGACGATGAATGCGTGTTTAGATCAAAGCATAAAGCGTGCATACATGACTATCTTTCGAATTGATATATTATGTAGATATCTAAAATAAAATGTATATTGGGCGAGCATGCTTGCTTAATGTCAACCTGCTTAATAGTTTCCTCGTTGCCATTGATTTATATAAATGCATCGATTCATTTATGCTATCAGAAGAGTGTTAATTTGAATTAAATCAATGTACCATTGAAGGTTAATAATGCAATAAATTTCGAATATTTAACAGATTATAAATTAATCAAAATCAAATTATATTAATTTAATTAGTTTTAGTTTAGATTTAGTTTCATACGTACGCTGATTTCTGACAGTTATACATTGTATATAATTTATTAAATGAATTCTTACAACATGTTAAAATGACAATGATCAAGGAGCAGAACCTGCAACTTTTTGAAAAATTATGGAGAAAGATCTGAGATCATTGCTGGAATGAAATAGCAATTAAATTTAGTCTCGCTTTTACGAGACGAGTACGAGACGAGATAAATCTCGCTCTCGTGCAAAGCCCTAAAATTTACAGCTTTGTTTTTAGCACAAATTTAAAATGTTTAATTTGGTACATATTTGTTTGCTTAAGAAATTTAATAAATCATTGGACCACACTCTATTTAAAAAATTTAAGTTGACAAACATTTGAGCGAAACAAATATACAAAAATATATAAGAATAATCAAGATCATAGAAATATGTTTTTTGTTAATTAAATAGAGGTATGCTAAAGAGTTAAAATCACAAAAAAACCTTCCAAATATATTGAGATAAATGATTAACAAAGTTTTTGGGAATTCAATTTTTAGTGGCGTAGAAACATTTATTGTTAAATACGTCAATATCTCAAAATAAATATTTTTACTTTTATTTCTTAAATACTTTTAAGATCATGATATTATGGTTTAACGATGAATTAAAGCAATCTTTAGCTCCCTAACATGTATGAAAAAAAAATTTAAGTGATAATTGATGATTGATCAATCAAGTTACACTTTTTTTACAAAACCGCGAAAATGGATGCTTCTAGCTTCACACGAATCAATTTCGCGGCCAACGTCACTCCATCCCCTACTTAGTAGCACCGGCAAAGTAAAACGTGCGCCGCTTCCACGTACCACGTATCAAGTCACATTGTAAGTCAGCTCGCGCAAGACACCACACACCAGCCGACAGACCACCGCGAATCAGTCCCGCAACTCCGTCCAAACACTCTATCGGAACGAAATCGAAAGTCAAACTCGCCGTGCGCCGTTTGTTAAACTTTTTTATTTATTTTATTATTTCTTTTGATCTTTCGTCACCGACACGGCGCGTACCCATACGCACACATCGCGTGTTTCGCGTTCGGCGTTTTGAAATCGAAGCTAAGTGCAGGTGCCGTTTGTGTTCGTTCCCATTTCAAAAGTGCAATGCCACTCTAGCGCAATTTGGCGCGCTTCACTTCTCATTTTTACGGCCTGCAGCCTGATTGCATTTGTGCGTTTGGAAAATGCGTGTGCCGCTAATATGCGCGCTCCTGGTGAGCGCCGTGTGCGCAAAGACGGATTCACTGACGACAGCGCGACTCATCAGCGAAAAAATCAATGTGTTAGGCATGCTCAACAAAACCAGTACCAATGAGAGTGCCTTTTCGTACTTCATCGCCGCTGCGGCCAACGAGACGCTCGGCAAGCTGCAGATCATCGCCGACCTGGAGCAGCAGCTGGAGATCGACAACCAGATGAAAGGGAAATTATGCATGCGGAATCTCACCGACTGCATGGCGAATGGTGAGTGGCGAACGTGGATGAGAGGATGTTGCCCCGGGGACGGGTTGTCCTTTTTGTATGTTTTTTGCTTACGGCAGCCTGTTGCGTGCGTACATCTTATTGCACTTTTGCTCTCGTTGCATTGCGCTGCGTCAAGGTCGGTTTCTTCAAGTTCTTGTATGTTCACTTTTATCAACTAAATGACCATGTTGTGCATTTAGTGTCGATTTTTCTCATGGGAATAAGACTTCTTGTCTTTTTTACGCAGCAATTGAACATAAAATTATTCCAGTATGATATTAATTTGGTCTTGATAGTATTGCCCAGCCATAGCATAAGTGACTTTTAAAGTTATTTATATCCAGCATTATCAAAAATGACATTTAGGCAACATTTGCGCATAAGAATGCATCGAAATAGCAAAACGGAAATAACAAAACAATCACTCTGTTGTATCTAACATTAAAACTATAAGTAACATGTAATATCCTTGAATATGTCAAAGTGTATGCAAATTTTATGCAGCGATAAATTAAAGAATGTATATTTATTATCCTATTTCTGATTTCGAGTTGTATTTGTCCTTAGACTTTTTCAATGCATTTAAATTAAAATTCTCTTTTTTAAATATAATTCAAAAATAAAATTTAACCAACATATTTCATCCGCAGTTAAACGGTGTTACCTATATTATTGCTTACGATTCATTATTTGTAAAGTTTCATGCGTGTTAAAAATATTACATATATAGTTATTTACCAGCGGAAAGGACGCCTTCAAATTAATGCGGCGGGTCGAAACTGTTATGTCAGCCGGTTTAATTGCACATTAGCAATATTCGTATTTGTTGGCTAATAAAAAGACACAAAAGCGTGCCACTATAAAAATCAATATACATCTATGTTTACGTATCGGTATTATCGAGTTCGATATGATTTATACTTCAATTTTAAAAGCCAAATGGTAGCACGCCCATTACACATAGTTGAGGTCTTAATTAATCAGCAGTATTACGCACTACTCCAAATACCTAAATATCTATTAAAAACTTGGAAAAATAGAAAGTAATGGACCAAATCTTCGACTTTAAACTTCCGCCTATTTACGATTTCGTGACACATCTCTGTTGCAAAACCTAATATGTGAGTGCTGTGTGATATTTCATGAAATCGAAATTATCACCACGGATTACTTTTGCACATCTTGCTTAAAATTACATGGGCGTGTTTTTTGTGCTCTTTTTCGACTTGTCGATCGCCTGAGTCAGCAGAACATCAGCAATTCACACTGGAAAGTTCAAAAGTACAATTATTTAGTAATTCAGTTTGTTTACGCAAAAATATATTCAACAAAAAGATTATAAAAGTTTTTCCAAGTTGTCCATTATTGAATTTTGTTTCTAATATTTTCTGACTGATCTCGTTATTGAAATCATTCTTTAACAAACTGTAAAGTAGTGACAAGTTCACACTCGCCGTTAAAAAAAGTGTTCATAGACACTGGATAATAAGCATGCCATATGACGTAAAAAGTGACTCGTGAATTCATGTATAAAATGATTGGCTAATTATTCATCTCATTCTATCAGGAATATTGCAAACATTTCGTGTGGTGTATTGAACACAAGAAATGTTTCGTTTTTAGCACGGCGCAAAATTGTTGTGAAATTATTACAATATTAATTGCGAATTAGTGAGATATATCAATTGATTTAGGTTATGTTGGCTTTCAATTGCACCAGAAATGCATCAAACTGCATGTTTCAAATGTATTTTCTGGATTGTATTTAAAGTCAAATTAAAACTTCTTTCATACTCAGTATCAATTAAAAATATTGAATTGGCGAAAGGCGTCATTCACTTATATATAGCAAGTTAACCAAGTTGAGGATCATTAGTATTCGGTATTTCATAAATCAGAATATTCTGAGCAAACGTGCAATACGCGCAACAGTTATTATTAATAAATTGTATTTTCCAAACATTTGTTTTGCAAGACATTCGTCCTTGCAACATGAGCTGTTTTTTCGGTCCGATTGCATGCGAAAATCAAACACTTTTCGCTCCAATGATATCGCAAACAGCAAAACGTTTATCATGCAATATCAAATTTACATTTATGCAGAAAAGTGCGACATCAAAAGCAAATGACTTTGAATAGCTGCACGAGTACTAGTACTCAATTGCGTTATATTGATGACACCGTGAACGATGACATAACCAAAGATTGCAGTGGCATACATGCATCGTGCATCAAAGTACATCCGGAAGTACACGCGCCGACGGGCAGACGTAATGCGCTTAGATCAACGCGTGTTTAGTAAAAACACGATATTGGCACTTCTTTGTCTCATGTGTGTTAGCGACCGTTTATCTGCAACGCGTGTCACATTAATCAAACATTGAGTGGTTAATTGACTGTGAGCACGCATTAAAATATATGTGCACTGGCATACGCGATGGTAAACCGCGTTTGGTAATGTTAAGCGTTGTATAAGTTGAACGTGTGATGTCTGCTCACGAATGCAACTGTTGCATTCAAATGTGTGCAATATGCGAAATGAATAATACACGCTATTTTTGCAATTCCAGGAGTTATATAACGCATGTCAATTCGTGAAAACTGATTTTGATCGAAATAGGCTGATGGGTTTTATAAATTTAAATTTCGAATACAGTTTTGCTCTTGACAAACAATTTTTCAAACATTTGTTACGATTCAAATTATAATAAGTCAAAACAGAATTATTAATTTGAAATGAAACTTATTTGTTTTACAAAATTTTAGTACTTTTACTAACGAAACAAAAATAATACAAGTGTATTGTTTTATGCGGTGATTTTGAGGTTATCAACGTAAATAACCTCTTTTTAAAGTTACCAGCACATAACCTCAAATAACTCTATCAATTCACTTGACTTAAATATAGATCATCAATAGTGCTTTGTGTTGGTACGTATTCGATCATTGATAAAATCGATTTCTTCATATTCCAAATGACCAAAAAAGATACTACTGCATGATAAATAAAATATTAATAAAAAAAACATAAAGTAAACAATAAAACTATTTTCATGGCCGGTTCTATATGTGAGAAAATTTCAAAAGCGAAAACAAACAATGTTATTTTAAATTTCCGTATTACCAAACTTTACAAATGTAAGACTAACGAAGTATGACGATATGTACTATGACGATATATCTCCACAGGTGCACATTGTATTTAACAATAGTTCAACTTAACCAACACTGCATTATTCGGTTCATACTTGACGATTAAATAAAAAGTTGCTTCTCAAATCTTTACCGCCCATCTGCGCAGTGACAACACTACCGAGTTTAAAGTTTACTTAAATCCATTGAAACGTTTTGAAAGTGGTAGCCGAATATGAAGCCTGCAGTTACGCGGAATAAAAACGAAATTTGTTAGAAAAGAGGCGCGCGCACAAAAACCATAATTATTTAAATTTTGTAATCCGATGTGGGTTAATGTGGCTCAAGGACATGCAGTTTTTACCACACACGTATATCATTTTTTATTTTGGTTTCAATCTTCACATCATTATTCTAAAGTTTTTAGGGCAAAAATGTAAAATCAGCGGAAATTTATGTATCCAGTGAACAGTTTCATCAATAACATCAATTTGTGAATATTTTTGTATTTAATTGAGTTCGAGTTCAAGGGGTCAGATAAATTTAGCATATGCATACTAAAATGAGCAAAAAATTTTCTAATAAATAATTAAATTTTTACAAAAATTGAGCATAAATGAAATGATTTTTGAATGAATTGTATTAGCTAGACATTAACAAAAACTTGCTATAAGGTTTGATTATATAAGCTAATCTTAATTCTTAATACATTTAACTCAATATTATTTAACCTTAGCTTGTTGTAAACTTGTTCGTAATTTCGTAGTCTGCCAGATCTCAAAAATGTTCAGATGTATGCATTCAGCAAAAGCTACTTTCTCTATTTAAAATTTAAAACGCACAAAATGAAGATTTCGTCAAATCAATATTATATACGAATCAATGCGGGCGCAGTGTCACAGATGTCTTCGAATAGCACAAGAGGACAAGGTTACACTTGTCGCAATATGTCACTTAAATTATAAATTTAATATACCTCGCAAATCATGCGTATGTTGCTTTTTAAAACTGAAAAAAGCCGGTTTACCAATATCATATCACAAGTCACGTATTACCGCCAACAACACCAGTTGTGTTTTACGGCGAGCGCAGGTTGTCTTAAATCTTTGGCTGGCAGCATTTAAAGAGATCGAGATTGAGTAAAATAAAAAACGAAACCGAATTTGTTAATGCAAACGCAAACGTGCGTTGCTATTGCGACACTCCGACCTGGAAGCAATGGAAGTGATTTGCATTTACAAACATACACACACACAACACAGAAAACTTTTTTGAGTGAACAGTTGCAAAGTTGTGAACATGTGCTTATCTTAATCTTACACTTACAAAAGAGTCGGAGGATAAAGAACTATAGGTTATAGTTATTTGCTAGGAATTATTAATTCGTCATGCTGTGAATTAAGCTATATTTAAATTGAGTGTCAAGCGACATTAAGCAACCATTTTTGTGATTTACGTCAAAGGAATCTTAAATATATCAAAATAAATTAGTTTTAAGCGGTAATTTTTTTTTCAATTTAGGCAAATTTTGAATAAATGTATGTAATGTATGTATTAGTAAAGTTATTGCGAGAGTTGTTTTAAGTGAATTTAAATAGGAAATTAATAATAAAATATAGAAATATGTTAAAATTTATATTCAATTGAGCTGTTTCAGCAAACTTCAACTAAATGCTTTAAAAAATGATTAACAACACCGGACTGTTGCACTTGACGATCACAACAAGGTAGATTACACCAAACATGACCTTACCTTATCGAGAACACTGTTTTCTATTTTTGGAGCGAAATTCTTTTATGAGGTAGTAGAGTGAACGGCTGTAAGCGCAACGTTTTTTTCTGTACCTAATTTTTTTTTTGAAGTCTTA